TCATCTTTCCTGGCCCAGTGGATCTTCAGAAGGATTTTTAAAGATATTTCCTATATATTCCTATGTAAAACTTGGGTCGGCCATTTTGGCCCCACCCTTGCCCTGGGGGTCATGCAGTGATTGGGAAGGCCAAAATGGTCAATGGGACTATGGCGCAACTGTCAACATTTTTGATGGGCCATTTCGAAAATGAATGGGCCATCAATTTAATCTGAAGGGCCATTTTAAGAAATAACAACGTGACAAACAAATATGAAATACGAGAGAAAACACGTTTTTAATTAACCGAATCCGACTTTTAACGCATGAAATGTAGCAACTTTAAACGCACTTGCTTAGAATATAACTGACACGTATTTTGTGTTAAAATTACAACAGTTTTGGAAAGGGAACAGCCCTACCATACAAATAAATGAACTATTGTACCTCAAGTAAGTGCTTCGTTTAACCATGTACTTTTGACAGGTTTCAACCAATGAGATTTGTTGTTTTAAATTGACTGCATTTAAAACGAAAGTAAAACAAGAAAGAAAGTCGTACACAAAATATTTTCAAATAACATCGCTAAAAATTGAATGCGCACCTTGGCGCCATGATTGATTGATTGAATGCGCCATTTTTCACTTCAATGCGACTATGGCGCGTGGCGCAAGCCCTTCCCAATCACTGGTCATGATTTGAACAAACTTGAATCTACACTACCTGAGGATGATTCCACATGAGTTTCATCTTTCCTGGCCCAGTGGTTCTGGAGAAGAAGATTTTTTAAAAATGCCATTAATTTTTAACAAATTTATGATTATCTCCCCTTGGAAAAGGGCGTGGCCCTTCATTTGAACAAACTTGAATCCCCTTCACCCAAGGATACTTTGTGCCAAGATTTGTTGAAATTGGCCCAGTGGTTCTTGAGAAGAAGATGAAAATGTGAAAAGTTTACGACAACAACGACAACAGACGACAGACAAATTTTGATCAGAAAAGCTCACTTGAGCCTTCGGCTCAGGTGAGCTAAAAATGCCATTAATTTTTCTCTAATTCATAATTATCTCCCCTTGGAAAAGGGCGTGGCCCTTCATTTGAACAAACTTGATTCCCCTTCATTTTTCCTATATATTCCTATGTAAAACTTGGGTCGGCCATTTTGGTCCCACCCTTGCCCCAGTGGTCATGATTTGAACAAACTTGAATCTACACTACCTGAGGATGATTCCACATGAGTTTCTTCTTTCCTGTCCTAGTGGTTCTTGAGAAGAAGATTTTTAAAATTTTTCCTATATATTCCTATGTAAAACTAGGGTCGGCCATTTTGGCCCAACCCTTGCCCCGGGGGTCATGATTTGAACAAATATGAATCTACACTACCTGAGGATGATTCCACATGAGTTTCATCTTTCCTAGCCCAGTGGTTCTGGAGAAGAAGATTTTTTAAAAAATGTTCCTATATATTTCTATGTAAAACTTGGGTCGGCCATTTTGGCCCCACCCTTGCCCCGGGGGTCATAATTTGAACAAACTTGAATCTACACAACCTGAGGATGCTTCCACATGAGTTTCATCTTTCCTGGCCCATCGGTTCTGGAGAAGAAGATTTTTTAAAAATGCCATTAATTTTTAACAAATTTATGATTATCTCCCCTTGGAAAAGGGCGTGGCCCTTCATTTGAACAAACTTGAATCCCCTTCACCCAAGGATACTTTGTGCCAAGATTTGTTGAAATTGGCCCAGTGGTTCTTGAGAAGAAGATGAAAATGTGAAAAGTTTACGACAACAACGACAACAGACGACAGACAAATTTTGATCAGAAAAGCTCACTTGAGCCTTCGGCTCAGGTGAGCTAAAAATGCCATTAATTTTTCTCTAATTCATAATTATCTCCCCTTGGAAAAGGGCGTGGCCCTTCATTTGAACAAACTTGATTCCCCTTCATCAAAGGATACTTTGTGCCAAGTTTGGTTTAAATTGGCCCAGAGGTTCTTGATAAGAAGATGAAAATGTGAAAAGTTTACGACGCCGACGACGACAACGTCAGACAACGGACAAATTTTGATCAGAAAAGCTCACTTGAGCCTTCGGCTCAGGTGAGCTAAAAATGCAATTAATTTTTCTCTAATTTATAATTATCTCCCCTTAGAAAAGGAGGTAGCCCTTCATTTGAACAAACTTGAATTCCCTCTACCCAAGGATACTTTGTAGCAAGTTTGGTTGAAATTGGCCCATTGGTTCTTGAGAAGAAGATGAAAATGTGAAAAGTTTACGACGACAACATCGACAACAACAACACTGACAACGACAGACAACAGACAAATATTGATCAGAAAAGCTCACTTGAGCCTTTGGCTCAGGTAAGCTAAAAAGATTTGCATTGAAAATAGCTATCAAATTATTTTAAACAAACCTTTTCTTTGCTTGCATGTCTATCCATCATGCAGAAAAAATATTCATTTTGAAAGCAAGTGGGTTCTAGTGCAAAAGTTATGACCAAGGTAAAATGCTTCATATTAAAATTTTGCGGTGGTGCGCTTTTAATCCACATAAATACAAAAATTAAACTCATTTTGTTAACGTCTTTTTCTTGTTTCATATTTACCATGTTGACATTCGGAACTAGTATGCACTGAGTTGGAGTTATCTCCCTTTTTTCTTTGCTAAATATTGTCAATAGACAGAATGCATAAACCGCGTCTGTTGGATATATTTATCATTTTAACGACAGAATATTTAGTTTGTCATTATAAAGCTACTAAGCAAGTTTCAAATCAAGAAGTTTTAAGATGACATTCTCATTTGGATGTAAGACAGATCATATTGACTTAATGCCAATGCAGCACGAACTCAATCTTAAACCATTTTATGAAAAATGAAAAATGCCATAATTTTGTCAAAAAGCAATGAAGCAAAATGACATTCAAACTTGATCTGGAACTCATCAAGATACACTCAAATACCAAATATTAACTCAATATCTGCAAGTGTTTAGAAAAGAAATGCGGAAAACCAAATGGGACATACAGACAGACGTTCGGACAGACTCAGAAACCTATAGTCCCTTCTGGTTTCACTGGTAGTGGACTAATAAAACAATAAAGACAACTTGTATCCAAGTGTAGTCTACTTGCATGTCAAGCTTGGCTATACCAAAATCTATGAAGGTAAGAGGAGTTGCATTTTGGAAGTATTTCACAGACACACTTCTATTTTTGGTAAAAATGGCAACACTGTTCATCTTAATAAGGAATTATGTATCTTTGTGTTGTCTACTTGTGTGCCAGGTTATTTTGTGTAATGGTTAGGACTGTGGATATCGACCTGGATAGCTCAGTGGGTAGAGAACCTGACTAGAATACAGGGGTCAGGGTTCGATTCCCGGTCCAGCCATACATTTTCTACTTTCCTGTTACAGATTTGGTGCCGTTGACCACCCCTAGACTTGCAGATGAAAGTCCTGCCAGGGGCTAATAAGAACTTGGGTTGTGTCTTCGAGGGTGAAGACCATTTAAGGAGGGAGGAATGTATGGTTAGGGATGTGGATATCGGCCTGGATAGCTCAGTGGCTAGAGCACTTGACTAGATATACAGGGGTCTGGGTTAGATTCCCAGTCCAGCGATACATTTTCTCCTTTCCTGTTACATTTGAAATCAGACCTAAACTGTACAAGTAGTGTAGTAGTGTTTTTAGAGAAAACAAATTACTGAAGACAACAAAGCAGACAGATGTAGTCATGTATAGGCAATGGGTTCCTTGATGTAGCATGTATTTAATGTATTTCTGTTAAATGTGAAATACATCAAAATTTTGAAAGATAAGCAATACTTTATTTATAACAGTTATAATCTGTCTGTAAACCAATATTCGATTTCTGCATGTAAAACTAAACAGAATACAATGTATAACCAAATATGAAGCTATTGTAAAACCATTTAACAAACAAGATGTGTTTGTGAAACACTATGCGCCCGGTGGCAACAAAGTTAAAAAAATCTATTTTTAGCATATTGCTCACAGTCAAGGTCACAAGGTCATTGACCTTGGTGTCATTTAAAAGAACTTAATCGGTGGAGTACGCATACTAAATATGAAGTCCCTATCTCCTATGGTTCAAAAGTTATGGCAAACAGTGGGAAAAGCTATTTTTAGCATGTAGGTCACAGTCAAGGTCACAAGATCATTGACCTTGTCATAGTTTGAAAGGACTTTATTAGTGGAGTAAGTATACCAAATATGAAGTCCATATCTCCTATTGTTCAAAAGTTATGGCAAACAGTGGAAAAAGCTATATTTAGCGTATAGGTCACAGCCAAGGTCACAAGGTCATTGACCTTGATGTCATTTGAAAGGACTTTATTAGTGAAGTATGCATACCAAATATGAAGTCTCTATCTGTTATGGCCAAGGTTAAAGTTGACAACAGACAGAAAGACAAACAGACAAACAGATAAACAGGCAAACAGACAGGACAAAAACAATATACGCCCGGGATCTATCGATCCAGGTGCATAAAAACAGTCTTCGACAAATCCCGGGAGTCCGATGCCCGGGACCTGGTAAAATTGGAAGCGGGCATGTGGAAATTGTACACTTACAAGCCCGAAGGGCATGTTAATTCTAAGGCATAAGTCTCGGTATAATTAAATCAAATAAGAGCAATAACATAAAATGTACTTTAAAGTCTTTGATTTTGCATCTAAGTGAGGTAAAAAAAAATAAAATTTTACCGACATCTTATTTTACCGCGATTTCTAAGGAACTCTTCTGCACAAGAGACACAAAAAGTGTACAGGTTGAAAACAAATGGCAAGACAAGAAATTGACAGAATGGATTTTCAGATTATTTCCTTGGCATGAAAAGGCAAATAAGAATAAAATAACTTGATAAAATTCTGGGCATGTAAATATTTGTTCGGGCTTGCGTAATTGGTGATCACACCTGCCCGAAGGGCATGTGCTGAAAAAAAGATTTGGCGAAGACTGTAAAAATTGCAATACAAAGAAATATCTAACCTGTTTCTACAATACTGTTAGGGTTAGTTTCACATGCATCTGAATTCCCATCCTGATCAACACTTTGTAAGATCAAGTTATCAGACGGGTTTACACTGTTTTCATTTTTATGGTCGTTTTGAATACTGTCAACACTTCCACCAGTATCCTCTGCAGTAGTTTCATTTTTACCGCCCTTTTCATCTGATATAGGCTCAGAAGAATCACTTTGCTCTTTTTCAGAACCAATAGTGGAACAGTCAGACATTTTGCTGTCATCCTCTAAGTTCTTACTGCCTTCTTGATTTATATCAGTCTTTGGAGTTTGATTTGATGTAGAAATCACTTGCACAGAAATTAAACTACCTTCCCTTTTGTCCAAAGCATGCGATTTTACATCTTTATCTTTATTACCTGCTTCTTTACTTTGATTCTCATCCTTTTCAGTACTTTCATTTTCTGCTTTTTCCACAGGGCCTTGTGTAGGAGATGACTGTTTGCTTTCTACATTTTCAATGGATACTTCCTTTTTCCCCTGCATATCATCTAAGCCAAAAGGATGTACCCGGTATTAATAAAGTACATATATAACGGTACTCAATAACAATAGCATTTATTAAAATTAATTTTCTTTGTTCTATCAGGAAAATGTTTAGTTTTCATGAAAATTAAGACATAATTTATAAAATTATTTTTCAAAAAAAAATATATCAAAGAAATCAAAGATGGTGAAAACAGAATCTTCATAATCTGTTCACGGTCATTTCAAATGACATTTAAAAAAAAAAAAAACTTAAAAATTAATAACTCTACTTAATTATTAAATAACAACTTCACTAAATGAATGATAATCGAATACCTTCAGAATCTATCATATCAAATACTTATCTGTGTGTCAATTAATTTTATTGTTATTTCACACAGTTACATATAGTACTTCTCAAACTAATGTAAACTGCATGCAATTCATTGCAATGAATTTTTAAAATTAGGAACATATTAAATTCAAGGGTCTATTTATAAGCATTGAATTCATATTTGGGGATGTCTTTGGTCCTATAACACACCTGGCCATGCCGACAAATTGAATATCGCATATTAGTGCATCATGCTTCTATTAATTGATATAAATACAGCAGTTCTAATTTACTTACCATCTACTTGTACAGGAATTTCTGAAGATCCATTCACTGGAGATGACTCTGTGTCACTGTATTCATTCCCTTGACTTTTTGACATCTGTGTCAATGCCTCCTCTGAATGAGGAATACTTGAACCACTGTGTGAATCAACTATTTCAGGAGGCTTTGTTGATGTTTTGTCCTCTGTAATAAATAGATAATTTATATAAGATGTTATAGCCAGTGGCACGTAAGTAACCGTTTTTTTGAAAACTTTTATTTACTAAAGGTCTTCCGTTTTTTCCGTTTCCAACGGAAGACCTTCAACTGATTCTGATGGTAAAGATTATTAATCGTTTTTTTCTTTACTTCCTAGACCGCAACTTTGAGGCCTCATATCTCACTCATTTCTCAACGGATTTCGCTCAAATTTTCAGAGGTTATAAAGGTTTATAAACTCTACCAGAATGCTGACTAAAGAACTTCATTCGGTTATAACCAATATTTGCCCCCCAAATCAAACTTTGATAGAGATATATTTAATTAAGTTCTTAAACAGGGGAGTATATGCTGACTTCAAAGTACTGAATATTTTCACAAGAAATGACGTCATATGCACGTAATGACGTCACAAACATGACGTAAATTTCAGTTTTTCATGAATTCTACAGAAAAATGTACATGTTTCGGCGATTTTTTGAGTAAAAGTCACCGAGCGCATGTGTGTTCAGGATCGATATTTTGATATAATGTGTAGAATGATAATATCAATGAAATATGTAAATATTGTTCCTGAACAAACTTGCGCTCTATAAATTCTAAAGCTAAAATTGTTGAAATTTTGTCCATTTTGTCCTCTTTCTGAAAAAAGGATATGAAATCGGACTAGTTTGTGACGTCATAAAAACAAAAATTGTAAATTAACTGCTTTGAAAGTATAATATGTTCTGTTTATTTATATTTCTCATACAATTTATTGAATTCAGCGCATTTCAGGAAGTTTTCAAAATTTGACTTTTGTGGGGGCAAATATATGCAATATACCGCATATAGTTCTTTTCAAAAAGTCACTTCCGGTTTTGAGTTATTTCCCTTTAAACAAAAATTATAGGCTTTTGTTTCCGGATAAAGGCTCAGAGACCACAAAAGCTGAAGCAGAATTTTTACTGATTTTAGGTAACAGAAGGATTTTGAGTTTTTGCACATCGGTTTTTGTTTTTTCGATTTCTGTATTCACAATGGCGCCATATAGGGGTCAAAAATTAGAATGCGTACAAAAGCGAAAATTTACACATATTTTCCTTTTTATCTTGAAAATTAAAAATATTTTGTTAAGACATAATGAACAAAAGTTGTGCATAATCGCAAGGGCTTTCATATAATAATATTCAAAAGGGGCTGGCCCCTATGATTAGGGATCAAGGGACCTTGAAAGTTTTTGCTTTATAACTCAAAAACGGTAAATATTTCGAAATTACTAATCGATTATAAAGTTGTGCTTTAACATCTTACTGATCTCATGAAATTGTAATTGTGTTCGAGTCTTGTTTTAAATGAGCTGGTGCATGACCTATATATGCACATGTAATTATTTTCACTCAGCACGTAAACGAGAGCTCCTTATGCGTGTAACCAAAGCAAGCTTACTATAAATAATAAACATGGCTACATTGGAAGCTAATATTCTTCAGAATAAAGTTCTCGAAGTGTTTGTGCTTTTTATAGCTCACCTGAGCCGAAGGCTCAAGTGAGCTTTTCTGATCACATTTTGTCCGGCGTCCGTCTGTCTGTCCGTATCTCTGTCTGTAAACTTTTCACATTTTCGACTTCTTCTCAAGAACCCCTGGGCCAATTTCAACCAAACTTGCCACAAAGCATCCTTGGGTGAAGGGGATTCAAGTTTGTTCAAATGAAGGGCCACGGCCTCATTCAAGGGGAGATAATTGGGAATAAATGAAAATTTGGTGGTATGCTTTAAAAATCTTCTTCATAAGAACCACTGTACCAGGAAAGATGAAACTTATGGGGAAACATCCTCAGGTAGTGTAGATTCAAGTTTGTTCAAATCATGACCCCCGGAGGTAGGGCGGGGCCAAAATGACCAACCAAAGTTTTACATAGAAATATATAGGAAAATTCTTTAAAAATCTTCTTCTCAAGAATGACAAAGCCATAATTGATCATATTTATATAGAAACATCCTCAGGTAGTGTAGATTCAAGTTTGTTCAAATCATGACCCCCGGGGGTAGGGCGGGGCCAAAATGGCCGACCAAAGTTTTACATAGAAATATATAGGAAAATTCTTTAAAAAACTTCTTCTCAAGAATGAGAAAGCCGTAATTCATCATATTTATATGGAAACATCCTCAGGTAGTGTAGATTCAAGTTTGTTCAAATCATGACCCCCGGGGGTAGGGTGGGGCCAAAATGGCCGACCAAAGTTTTACATAGAAATATATAGGAAAATTCTTTAAAAATCTTCTTCTCAAGAATGACAAAGCCATAATTCATCATATTTATATGGAAGCATCCTCAGGTAGTGTAGATTCAAGTTTGTTCAAATCATGACCCCCGGGGATAGGGTGGGGCCACAATTGCCGACCAAAGTTTTACATAGAAATATATAGGAAAATTCTTTAAAAATCTTCTTCTCAAGAATAGCCAAGCCATAATTGATCATATTTATATGGAAGCATCCTCAGGTTGTGTAGATTCAATTTTGTTCAAGTCATGACCCCCGGGGGTAGGGCGGGGCCACAATGGCCGACAAAAGTTTTACATAGAAATATATAGGAAAATTCTTTAAAAATCTTCTTCTCAAGAGTAGCCTATTGATCTTATTTACATGGAAGCATCCTCAGGTAGTGTAGATTCAAGTTTATTCAAATCATGAGACCCCCTGGGGTAGGGTGGGGCAACAATGGCCTACCAAATTTTACGTAGAAATATATAGGAAAATTCTTTAAAAACCTTCTTCTCAAGAATAGCCTAGCAATAATTGATCATATTTATACGGAAGCATCCTCAGGTAGTGTAGATTCAAGTTTGTTCAAATCATGACCCCTGGGGGTAGGGCGGGGCCTCAATGGCCGATCAAAGTGTTACATAGAAATATATAGGAAAATTCTTTAAAAATCTTCTTCTCATGAACAGCCAAGCCATAATTGATCATATTTATATGGAAGTATCCTCAGGTAGTGTAGATTCAAGTTTGTTCAAATCATGACCCCCAAGGGTAGGGCGTGGCCAAAATGGCCGACCAAAGTTTACATAGAAATATATAGGAAAATTCTTTAAAAATCTTCTTCTCAAGAATAGCCAAGCCATGATTGATCATATTTATAGGGAAGCATCCTCAGGTAGTGTAAATTCAAGTTTGTTCATATCATGACCCCCCAGGGGTAGGGCGGGGCCACAATGGCCGACCAAGGTGCTCAGGTGAGCGATGTGGCCCATGGGCCTCTTGTCTTACAAATTATCATGTTTATTCACTGACAACTTTCCCTTTTATTTCATTTTTTTAAAAATTGTATAAACCAAGTCTACTAAAAAGGGAAGAAAATATCATCTTTTCTTCTTATCACATAAAAGCAAACAATAAAGTGAGAAAATAAAACATAACAAGAGGCCCATGGGCCACATTGCTCACCTTAGCACTGTGGCTTGGAAAAAGGAGAATTGGTTTAAACTTAAAAAGCTTAAATCCAAAAGTAGTCCCAAGACCAATCATGGCTTTGCTATTCTTGAGAAGATTTTTAAAGAATTTTCCTATACATTTCTATGTAAAACTTTTGTTGGCCATTTTGGCCCCGCCCTACTCCCGGGGGTCATGATTTGAACAAACTTGAATCTACACTACCTGAGGATGCTTCCATATAAATATGATCAATTATGTCTT